CTCACTAGTTACCCAAGCCCTGGCCAAGGCTTAATTCATTATCTTTTCTTCCCAAACGTCTCCCTATTCTGTGACTTCTCTTTCAATTCCCTGGTATCAGTAGCCTCTAAAGAAGAATTTTAGATTCAGTTCTGACTTTTTTTTTTCTCTGCACAACCAGTTAGTTGCACTATTCTACCAATTTTTCATCCATGATGTATCTCAAATCTATTTTTTCCTTTTCATTTATTTTGCTACTACCCTTGTTCAGGCCTTCATTATCTCTAGCCTGGGCTGCTGCCATAGTCTACAGACTGGTCTCCCATCTCCCTCCTCTTTTTTCCCTTCCACTCATTACTATCAGAATATTCTTTCTGAAGCCTCATTAAGATGTTACAGTTGCTCTCTGTTGACTGTAGAAATAAGGCCAATTTCTTGGCCTATGATTTCAAGCCTCTGCTTTCATGACTCCCCTTCACCAAGTTTGTCTTTTAGCCTAATACTTCTTAAACTTCCTCTTGATAAAAATCACTTGTAGTACTTTTTAAAAAATTAAATTGCTGGGACCCATCTCAGACCTACTGAATCACAGTCTCCAAGGGAAGAGCCTGGGAAGCTGTAATTTTAATGAATTCCCTGAAATTCTTGTTAGGGAAATGTAGGAAATACTGCGTTAGCAGATCTGAACTATTTGCTGTTCTACATATATGTCTTGTATTTTCCTTTTTGTGTCTTTTTGTTCATGTTCTTTTCCCTGCCCTAAGTGTCCTATCTCACTTCTGGATGTCAAAGTCATATTTATTTTTAACCCCTAAAACACCATCCTTTCTAAATATATTTTCTAGTTTTTCTTAATCTTTTCTTTTTCGGCTCTCACCTTTGCTTTTCTTGTGATACTTATATTTTCCTTTTTGCTTGTTACACAAGAAACATATGACTATGTTCTTATTGTATACTACTCAAACATTATACCCTTTCCTTTCTGCCTTATTAGTTGTGTAGAGTCCTAGGTTGTGAACTCCATGATGGTAGGTAAGCTTTGTGTTATCTTTGCGTGGTGGTGTCTTGGAGTAGAAATACCATGGATTTCGGATCATACAGGCTCATATAGACACTTTACTTTCTGCTGATACTCTGTGACCTTGGATAACTTAGTCTCTCTGAGCCTCAGTTTTCCTCTTTGTAGCATGGAAATAATATGTACCATTTAGAGTTGTGAAATAAGCAAATGGATAATCCTTACTTTAATACATTATGCAATCTTGAAAAATGTTTTTGCAAGTCAAATGTCTTAAACAATACACTATGTTATAATTCCTATTTTATTATCATGAGCAAAACTATATCCAACAATCTCTAATATGGTCATGATTATTATGCAGAAGCTGCCACCTTCATGCTCAAGCAGTCTAAAGGGCTGGTAAGGAGCTTCACCAGCAGTTCAGCTTTCTGGGGGAGGATGTCATAAACTCAGCACAATTGGCCTACTGTCCTTGCTGAGCACTTCCATAGACTCCTGGATAGTAGCCTGAGCAGCCTTGGAGGGCATGAGTGTACACCCGTACATCTTGACCCACCAACAACCCATTCCCACATGCGAGTGGGTCTTGGCACACTCTGCTGAATCTTTGGCCTACAGAGTTTAGCTGTTTTCTCTGTTTATATAATGGAGTCATGGATCAGTTTAGCTTGAGAAAATAGAACAATAACAAAAAATCCTTGAAATTTACTGACTTAGGGGAAAGGAAATTTCTCTAGAGGCAGAGAGAATCGAAATGAAAGTATACTTTGTTTATTTTGCTTTTGTACTGTTCTTCACACTATGAGCACCCTTCAGATACATGTTACCTTTTGGGTAAAATGAAACCTTGGTAAGAAAAGGGAAGGCTAGCCTGAATACTGGAAAAGTATGACCAATAGAATATATTTATTAAATTTCTCCATACTGTTTTTAAATGCATGTAATAGCTAGAGCCAAAGTCAAGTAAGTGTCTTTTACAATGACTAAGAACAATTTGCAGTTTCACTGGTTGCATGAAATTAAATATTTCTGGAGGGCTTGAAAATAATTGTTTAATTATTCATTTGCTTATCAAGTTTCTTTTTTCAGTGACTTGACAGTGTTAAGCTTTATTCCAGAACCTGTCTCACTGATCACAAGTTAATAATAGGTCAAGTCTGAATTGAGGCTTTACTTTCTGTGAAAGGAGAAATAAGATAGAGTCCCCTCTGGTTTATGGATTATCAGTGTGGGATTACAGACAATGCTTTACCCCACTCATTTATTCATGACAAGGTGCCTCTCCCACATGGGTTAGCTTTCCTTCATCATTTATTTCAGTTTCTTTCTACTACCTGATAAAATCTCTTTTACAATAATAGAATTTTATAGCTCAAAGGGATCTAGTCCAACTTCTTTTCTTTATAGATGAGGAAACTGAGACTCTGCTTAAGTGACTTGCCAGACTGACTTCATTTCCTTTCTGATACGATTGCATGATAGGAGGATGCCATGATAACGTATCTTGATTCAGCAGCACATTGTCAGAGTATCATGATATTCTTGTGGACAACATGAGGAAATGTGATCTGGGAGACAGGATAGACAGATGGATTTATAGCTGATTGAATCCTTCTGCCCAAAGGGTGCTTTGTTGTCCACCTGTGCCTGATTATTTGAATGAGTAAGTTGAAATGTAATAGGAGTACATGTAAATTCCGTACTTTAATGAAATCAGTTGAATAGGTATACGACTTAATAGCCTGTAAGCCCTAGTTGAATTACTAAGAGTGAGGTCTCTGGAATAAGGAATTTAACATTCTTTGTATTTGGGGGGATCACATTTACAGCATTTTGTTCAGTTCTGAACACATTTAAGAAGGATACTGACAAACTAGATACATTTAGAAGAAGGGAGGGTCATGAGGAGAATGGGATGATGCCAAAGACCAAATTTCCTTAGTTCTTCCACAATTTGTTTTCTCTGCCTGCAGGGTGCCAAGTCTACTATAGCGGGAAGGGACGTCTAAAAATTACTCTTGATTATATATTTCTATGCCAATTTAATTTAAGAAGTTAACTGAAATTTGAAATGGTAATGATTATTCAGATTAATTCATAGGTTCCTCCTATTGCTAAGTCTTATTTTAAATTTGGGTAAGAAAAGTTTTTTCTTTTCTCTTCAAGCTGTTTTAAATTTGGGGAGTTAAACAAGAACCTGTTTTTAAAAAATGTTAATTAAACTAACAATTGTAAACTAACATTTACAAATAAATGAAATATTATAGCTCATTAATGGACCAGGAACCTAGAGACTTGAATTCTAATCTTACTCCTGACTCTCATTTTCTGATCTGTTAACTAAGAGGCTGGACCAGAGGGTGTAAGGCCAACTCTGGCTGTGATGTGTGTGATTGTGGCTCCATGAGGGCGCCACATGGGGAAATTAATAAGGGAATATTTCTTAGAGTGGATGAAGATAAACATCGATGGCTGGAGATGCAGGAGGAAGAAATTTTAGGGAAGGAAAGCATGAACAAAAGATGTTCAAGTGTTATTCTAGTTCAGGTCACTTAACATTCTCTGGTACACTTTTGCACAGGTCTCCTTTAGTTCTCTTGTGTGAAATAGGCGAGGCTGCTGTATTATTATTTCCATTTTGTAGGCAAGGGTTCTGAGGTCTGATGAGATCATTCTGTTTCCCCAAATGGTACAAGTTTTGGACTAAAACTCATAGAATTACTGAATATTAGATTTTGAAACCCATTTGGTCTCACTATCATCTTTCTTCTTGTCCTATGCTCTTTCTACTACATCACTTTCTGGTTTTTGAAAAATTTTTTTTCAGTTTTCATTGTTGGACAAACATATTATCAAGTAATTTGTTGATAATTTGCCTTTTCAACACTCCTTGGCTTATATAAGGTTATGGAATTAGAAATATAGATTAATTGCACAATTCATATTCTATGACTTTTTAAAACTACAGATAAATAGCATCTTTAGATTAACTGAGAAGTTTCTTGTTTTGTCATATGGAACTAGACTATAAGCATGTTTTAATCGATTAGGTCTTTAAAATGTAGAGAACTCCATGTTAATACAGAAATTTAAAAACCTATTCTTTTCATCATGGAAATATATTTCGGAAGGTATACATCTGCCTTAAAGTAAAACCTTTCAAATTTAGAAGGCTGTTCTCAAAATTGTTAGACTGTGGTGAATGGGGCTTAAGGGAAAGAGGTATTTTCACCTCTCTGTATCTCATGTTTTAAAATTTCAGTTAACACATTTTGTAATGAATTTTTCAGATTAAAATTTCCCTTCAAAATAAATAACAATTATCCTTTCTTCCTGTCAACTTTAACCTCTTACTATTCACTCTTACATGATTAGTTGAGGGGTGGGATTGGCGAGCAGGTTCCCACCTCAAGATACAAGGTATAAATTTGAAGTTTTCCCACCCTGTGATGGGGAAGTCTGTAGGGTAATCTGCAAGTCTGAAACCAGGCCAGAGTTCTGGGTCCATAGGGGCCTCTAGAAAAAGAAAAATGGGTACATTTACATTTTTGGTATATTATTGTGAGACAGGCCCAGAGTTAAATCCTAGATCCTCTACCACTGACTAGCTTTGTGAACTCTAGTAAATTACTTAATTTCTCTGGCTTTATTTTCCATCTGTAAAATGAGGCTAATATTCCATCTGTAAAATGAGGCTAATAATGCCCAGCTTATATACTTTCATTTGTGGGGGAGGAAATGAGGGGTAGGAATACTGTATTATAGCACAGTGCCTGGCACCGAGTATATACTTAATAAATTAGAATAATAGTAGTAGTAGTAGTAGTTATTTTATAGTTCTACTTCTTATATCTTCCTATGTCTTGTTGCCTTACTAAAATGTCACTGTACTGAGAACATGAACTTTGAAATTAAAGCGTTTAGTAAGTCTTTGGTCATTGATGAGTGTTGTCATACTTGAGAGGCTCTTCTGTGTACACGTTTTCCATGTGTTAAACAGTACCTTGGAAGTACACTCATCTGGTTCCCTGGTACATTTTTAAAGTGATTCTGTGCAGTATAGACAGTGTATTTTAAGAATAATAGTATGCATTTATTTCAAATAACTCCTGATCTATTGTCTAAGTTTTAATATATGGGTCAAAATTTTAATTAGTTTAGTTATATATAAATTATATTGAGGATCTAGTGATTGGAAATAGTAATTAATAAACCTATTTTTAAGGATATATCACTTTTTGAAAGAAAAAGTTTTTCTAAAGTAATATTTTTAGTAAATGAGAGAGTAAGATTCTTATTTATAAAGCTTTAGTTTATATTGAAAATTTCAGGAACCCATGTCTTTTGCTAACCACATAAAACAGTACTAGATTTTATGTAAATTTGTTAAGTTGTCCTTTTGGAAGACTTTTTTTCCCTACTTGTGATTATCATACATTCCTTTCCAGAGCATGAAGGGAAAAAGCAAAAGTAGTCATGACTTGCTGAAGGATGATCCGCATCTCAGTTCTGTTCCAGCTGTTGAAAGGTTAGTAGGGTGCTAGTGTGACCCTAAGTTCTTATTTTCTGGCTCAGATAATTTTCTTGCTGCTTTTGTGAGTAAATGGTCAGTTCTCATAAGTCAAATTTGGTGAACCCAGCCAAAAAACGAAGGCATTTTGGTAATGGAGGTGGTAGAGCTTCTGGCATAGTGGAGAGGAGTACTCTAGTCACTTCCATTCTTCTTGCTATCTACCTCTGTAGAACTAATTAAATTTAAAATTAATTGTTAAACTGTTAAATCGTAGCATAGTTTGAATACTAGGAAACTGTTTGCTTAAACAGCTTGATGTTTAATTCAAAGTTGCTTTGCTAACTTTTTCCTTGAAGCGTTTTTGTCTCAGTTGGTATCATGGGTAAGCAAATCAGAGTTGAAGGGTTTTGTGAAGAAGTCACCACATTTTGGGCCAATCCACTGAGTATTATTTCTTACATATTTTGAGAGTTAGAAAATAGTCTTACTATCTTTGTTGTTTCTCTTTGAGAAGATGTCTTATCTTAAATGTAATTGCACATGATATATTGGGCCACTGTCTCAAAGGGGAACTAAAATACTATTGCACTGAGTTTAGCTCATTTTCAAAAATTCTATTTCAAAACAATTTTGTCTTAATATCCTTGTTTTTGAAAACTTTGGTTTCTTCAGCCAGAATGCATCAAGCCAATAGAAAAAATTGTTTTCTGCAGCCCTTTGTTCATAAAAATAGCACTGTTGGTTGTTTGCTTTTTTCTTTTGATTCTAGTGCATTTGTATATGTGCTAATGGAGCATACCTGTTATTCTGTTTATAAAAATGACTCCCTTTTAGAATGCCTCCATTTGCTGTCCAATGCCATTCTGAAATTCTTATGTTGAAATAAGTTTTTGAACTGTTAATCCCAGTAAAATATTCTAAATTTTTGGATTATTGAATATTAGTTTCATTTTGAAGCTAAAATTTATCTGTTTTCTTTATTTTTTTGTAGCGAAAAAGGTGATGCAGCAGGAGACTCAGATGATGTGAGTATTAATTTTAGTATAAATATAGTTTGAACAATTTATAGAAAATTCAAAATTTTTACAAAAAATTACATTATTTTTTCTTAAGAGGTAATGTATATTACTTTTATAATTATATATGTAAAATTTTGAAAAAAAATTGAAAAAGATTTGAAAATGTCATTTATTTTGATATTGGAATATTTCCTTCCAAGTGTGTATATAGGTATTTGTATTTCCCTGCAAAATTAGAATCATATATATGAATTTCTAGCCTGTTTTTTCTCCTTCTCAGATAACATTACTTGAATACTCAAAATTCAGATGTCATTGATTTTATTTTATTATGTTAAAAGTTTAAATGTTGATGCGTGGGCATCCTACATTATGTATAGGAAATGCTTGGATCAGTCATTTATAGTGGTATTCCTTCATTATACGCACATTTCAGAGGATTCAAGACTGTTTATTAGTTATATTGGCTATTAAAGTTGATAAAACAGAAGGCAGAGTTTCCTTTATACATAAGAAATCAAGTTTTTCAAGTCATCCATTTGCCACTTTATGAAAAACCCATTGATCTGTGCGTTGTATAATTCAGTTGGGAGTACATAACTTTCCATGCATGAACGCAGCTTCATCAATTACCACTGTCAAAAGAGAGGGTTCTCTCTGACTCTGTATAGTAGAGAAAGGATGAATATCTAGCTTGGTCAAGAAAACTTCCTGGAAGAGATGATGCTGTGTTGTGTCTTATAGGAGAATTAGGAGTTAGCTGGATCACGAAAGAAAGTGGTGAGGGGTGGGGGTCCTCTAGCTCAGAGAGCTAGCATATGCTAAATCATAGTAACGAGGAGATATTATACCTTATTTGGGGAGTACGAGCTGAGACTAAAGTTTGAGAAGGAGCCTGCTTTGTGAAGAGCAGGCAGCAAGAGAGTTAAAGGTAGAAGGAACTACACATACAAAAGGCCCTGAAGCAGGAGAGAGTTTGGTGTTTTCCAGGAACTGAAAGCAGACCAGTGTGACCAGAGTGTAGTAACAGGAGGGAGAGTGGGATAAGTCTAGGGAAGTAGGGAGAAGCCAAATATTCAAGAGCTTCATAGGCTATGGTGAGCAGGTTGAATTTCATCCTAAAAGTAATGAGGAGCGGTTGAAGGGTATTAGTTAAAAACAAGCGTGCTACGGTCAACTTTGCATTTTAGGAAGATCGCTGTTGGCAATATCATAGAGGACAAATTAGAAGAAACAGACCGGAGTCAGGAAGATCTATTGGGAAGCTATGGCAGGAGGAGAGCTTGGTATAGGACCACAGCTGTGAGACAGGAGAGAGACTTGAAAGAGGTCTAAGAGGTGACTGATTCTGCACTATGAGGTGAGGGAGAAGGAGGGGTCTAGGACAACCACAAGGTTTCTGATTTGGGCAACTTAGATGGGTACAAAAGAAAAAGTAGGCTTGAGGTGGAGAGAAAGATGAAAAGTAATGTGGTTAATTTTTTACACTTTGAGATTCAGATAATTTGGAGACATCTGTGTAACAATAATATGGGTCTGGAAGATAGGATCAAGGCCTGATATAAAAGTATAGATATGGTCTTGGTGAGAGTGAGGCCATCTAAGGATAGTGTATGGTCTCTAACCTGTTTTGTGTCCCAGATCCTTTGCAATGACTGGAACTGTGGACCATCTTACCAGAAAATGTACTCTATCCACAAACAAAATTTTATGAGTTTGCAGGGGATTTTTTTAGATCTCTTGAGGACCAAGCATGGAAGACCTAGGTCAGTGGTTATCAACTTTTAGGGCTGAAGAATTTTTTAAATATCTTGCTAAAAATATTCACAGTTTCTGTCTCTAGAGATTTGGTTCAGTAAGACTGGGATGAGGGCTAGGATTTTACATTTTTTAACAAGCAAACCATGTTATATAGTCTCAGGACCAGACTTTGAGGACCACTGTTCTAGGGGTCCACAAGCTTCAAGTTAAGAATCCTGCCTCACCATGACTCACCTGATCAAAGAATCACAAGAGAAAAAAATCTGCTTGGGGTAGTTTCTTCCTTTTCCTTCTCTCCCTTATCCCCCCTTCTTCCCTCCCCCTTTCTCCCTCCACTCATCTCTCTATTAACACTAGGAGCTATTCTGGAAGTTGAAGATATAGCAGTAAGCAAAATAGTCCAGAATTTTAGCCCTCATTGAAGTACTTCCCCTAATTATGGAAGAGAGCCAATAAAAACATAAATAATTAAAATATATGGTATGTCAGATGGGTGATAAATGCTTTGGGAGAAAAAAAACAGGGAAGGGGAATAGAGAATACTGGAGGTGGGTGGATGCTTCTGCCATTTTAAGAGGGTGATCAAGAAGGTATCACTGAGAGGGTGACGTTTGAGCACAGACCTGAAGGAGATGAAAGAGCAAGCAGTGCATCTATATTGACTAAGTGTTTCAGGCTGGAGAGAAAAGCAGCTCCCAAGTTGGCTCGTGCTGCTGGCCTGGAGTCATAGGAGATTATGTCAGGGAGGTACAGATTGTATAGGGTCTTGAGTGAGTTGGGGATCCATTGGAGGGTTTTGAGAAGAGGAGTAATTGCTATGACTTAGATTATAGGAAGAAATCTCAGCTTCTCCATGTCTACCTCTTCTACGTGAATTAATCCTTGCTTGAGGTCAATATGCTGGCTCACCACCTCCAGAAGCCACATTTCCCAGTGGGAAAGAATAGGAATGTAGATAGACACACTATCCTGAGTATTACAGGGTAATGCAGAGTGGACACAGTCTGTGCTGCACAGAGGGGCTATGTGGGAATTGAGCAAATAACCCTTCCTGGAGTATCCCATACTTATATAGTTGGCCTAGAGCAGACTCGAGGGGTATGCCCACCTGTAGCAGATTCTTCAAGCCCTTACTAATTCAAAAGAAAACGAAAAGCAAACCTGGCCTAGAATGCAATGAGGAGAGTCTGAGATGGATCTCCGGAAGTGAAAGAGGAAATGGAATGCCTGGCAAATACTCCATTTCAATTTCTACAGGATGGAGAATGTGAAAGTGCAGAGCATGATGAATATATTGATGGTGATGAGAAGAACCTGATGAGAGAAAGGATTGCAAAAAAGTTAAAAAAGGACACAAATGCAAATGTTAAATCAGCTGGAGAGGGAGAAGTGGAGAAGAAATCAGTCAGCCGCAGGTGAGTCAATTATTGTGCTTCTGGGTATCAGAGTTTTTTGTTTTTTTATACTTCATTTTAAATTGATTGAATCCTCTATTCAACTTATTTTTTAAAATAACTATTTTCATAATGTTTGATATGTATACCAGTTGTTCTGAATTAGCCCATTTGGAGACCTAAAAGAAAATAGACCAGTTTTAAAGTCAAACTCCACTTCATTTCGCTGATCTTTTCTTTAAAATTCCTCTATAAATTTTTATATATGTGGTAAGGAATATGTTAGCTAGATGTGGAAGGTTGTGTTTGTTTAATACCAACGAGAGTAGTAGAGTAATTGTATGGAATGAAAAGAGACATCCACATCCTCAGATTTAGGTGAGTAAAATTTGTCAAAACTGGTTAAGAAAGTGTGTGCGCCTGAAAACATTATTAAATATCTTTTCAAGTTTTATTTTTGCTGTATACCCCTCCTAATCTCAGTGGTATCATAAAAGAAATTTCAGCAAATTATCTGATGATAGAGAGTTGTTGAATTTTGTGACTCAACATTTTATTCTCCTGAAATTCAACTTAATTAAAAAATTCTCCTTTGTGATTCTATTATTACAACTTTATGGTATACATATTGCTTTAAAAAATAATAATATTTGTTTTTTTGAATGGCCTACATTTGGGGATAAGATAGATGTTAAGTACATATAAACAACATTCCTTTCTTCTATTATGTTTCTCAACCTCATATAGAAAAAATTAAAAAGCATTTGCTTGTTGTCATTGCTCATCTCCTTCAACTTTTTCCTTTATGTAAACAGAAAAGTGATTCTTAGAAATTTTCATGGATGGTATAACCTTTTGCATTCAGAAATGGTAGTACTTAGAAGTTACCTTAAATATCTTTTTTTCCAGCAAGACTCACCTGATGCTCAAGTAATCACTCTTGAGTCATTTAATACAGTAGACTAACTTTGGGCCACTACTGACTGAAGATTTTAGTGATCATATATATGCTTATACGTACATGAAGTTGACGAGCCTCTCATCAGCTTTGTGACTTTTAGTCAAATCATGGATATAATCAAGGATACTTTTTTTCTTTCTCTCATTCAAGTCATGCATTTTCTAATTTTTAAGGACTATGAATTTTTTAAAGATTAGGTTTATAGTGTGACAAAAAATACATTTTGAATTTTTAATAGATGAACCAAATATTTATGTTTAAGTGGTTCTTAAGTCCTCAACTCTACTCTGTCTTGTTGGCCTTAATACAATTTCAAATACTTATATACCCTCTGATTAATATAACTTATAATTTAGCAAAGCGGAATTTTCTATAAGAACTAAGTAAAGCTTATTTGGCAAAATTTGCCTTAATAAATGGTGAAAACACCAAACATCTATTTATAACTGGTCCCCTCTTCCCCCAGATTTTCAGTATTCACAACCTCTTCTCTTGCTTCTTCATCCTATCTCTCCTACCTACAAAGAGAAATAAAAGAAAAATAAGGAGGTCAGGGTAGAGAGAAAGTACAGAATTTCCAAGGGAAAATACAGTTTTTTACTCTTGTCTAGAAATTTCCACGATAGTCTCATGACCTCTTATTTTGAGTACAAAAAATTTCCAAAATCATTAGTGCTTTTGGTCAGTTATACCAGCTTCACTGTAGTTTAAGTCTCAAGTTAATTTTATGTTTAAAAAAAAAAAAACAGGAAAACCTCTAAGTCTTAAAAAATTGTAATGTGGTAAAAAGGATAATTATATTTAAAGGAAAATCACTGCTCAGTCTAAGTTGAATTATAATGGGTATAGCTGCCAGCCAGATAGGATATCAGTGTGAAATCATTATCTATTCAAAAATCAAGGCTCTTGACATATACAGACTTTTCATCTGGATGTGCTCGAAGTACTCTATTATCCTTCGGTCATTTTCTGATTTGAACAGTAGGATCAGGGACTAGACTAGCCTACCAGTCCTTTAGGCACGGAGCCATTCAAAGTATAATTTTACTGAAAATTTGTGTATTGCTTTTATTAGTAAAGAAACATCTGGAATCTGTTAAAGCTGTTTATCACTTTGGATGTTAAAGCTACAAGCAGGTTTGTTGAGTACTTAATGTTTAAGCTGGAGAATGGTATTTAACAATATAATTTTCAACAAATTTACGTGGCGTAGAATCTTTCCCTTATATTGTATTCTCAGCAATGTCTCTAGTTGTTCCCTTGAAAAGTACTTAGGGGTTCAGGAGAAAAAATTCCAGAGCTCTTCCTACCTTCTCTCCTTTCTTTTCTCTCCTTATACTCATTCTGACTTCTTTAGGATTTCTAGTCCCTTGCCTCCTTCCTTTTCTAAATGTGTCAGTCTCAGTCCCTTTCTTATCCAGCCCACGTTCTCTAAGCCTATACCGTGACTACTGGATGTGGATGAGCAGAATCACACAGCCGTGTGCAAGTCCAGCCTCAGCCATGCCTCCCGTGCTTCTTCCTTACCCACTCCCCACAGTGCTCACTTTAAACCTCAAACTCTCTCACCAGATCACCTGGCTTCCTGTCCTATGAAATAGGAGTAACTTCTTGAACTTATTCTTTTCTCTTTTCCCCCTTACCCTTTCAGACCAATTCTTATCTCCTTCTCCTCTGCTTTAAAGGGAGAGGAATCTCTCTACCCATTCAAAATGATTCCATCCCCTTTCCTTTGTCTTCAGTTTTCTCTTCACCCTTTCCTTTTCTTCAGCTTGTGAATAGGCTTAAGCCTCTCCCAGCATTCAAGAGTAAAACCAAACAAAACCACTCCATTTTATTTCCTCTCCCCACCTCCTTACTTCTCATTTATTTCTAAATACACATCATTTAGCTTTTCCCTCATCACTGCACTGAAACTACTCTCACTAAGGCCATCTAATTCACAAATCTAATGCTGCTTTCCAATTTTTGTGTTTCTTGGATTCTCTGCTGTGAAATTTGGCATTTTTTTGTCTCTTCCCTCTTGAAACCCATCTTCCTCAAGAACCTGCTACTTAAATTGTGATCTGTGGACCAATAGCATTAGTGTACTTGGGATCTTTTTTTAAGAAATGCTGAATCTCAGGCCCCACTCCACACTTCCTGTATCAGAATCTGCATTTCAACAGGATACCCAGGGGATTTGTGTGTATATTAAAGTTTGAGAAGCACTCCTCAAAAATACTAATTTTGGGGGCCGGCCTGGTGGCATAGTGGTTAAGTTCACGCGCTCTGCTTCGGTGGCTCGGGGTTCGCAGGTTCGGATCCTGGGCACGGACCTTTGCACGGCTTATCAAGCAATGCTGTGGCAGGCATCCCACATATAAAGTAGAGGAAGATGGGCACAGATGTTAGCCCAGGGCCAATCTTCCTCAGCAAAAAGAGGAGGATTGGTGACAGATGTTAGCTCAGGTCTAATCTTCCTTGCCAAAAAAAAAAACAAAACTAATTTTTACCCCCACTACTACTAGTGCAAGTTTATATCATCTTAGCTCCAAGGTCAGCAACTTGGAAGGACCTTCTCTGACTCCTCAGGGCATTCCTATTGCACCTTTCTCACACTTCTGTGATAGGTAGTATGACATTAGATTACACATTTGTTTTTCTTCTTTGCGTACCCTTATACTGTATAATTTTCTTGAAGGCAGAGATTGTGAACATTTATGTTTCTATCTCTGAGGTCAAATATCATAGGTACCCAAATATTTGTATAAATGAATGGACAAGAAAATGAGTGCATCCTTCTTTGACAAATCACTTTCTCCTCTAGATCTCGTAAGTAACTTGCTTGTATTTATCACATAGGATTTATTGGTTTGCCTATCCCTTGCCTAGACTGAGCTCCTTCAGAGACTGTCTTATTTATCTTTACATCCTCTGAGTCTAGTATAGTAAGCATATGGTAATTGGTCATTAAAGTTTGTATAATGAGTGGATGAATAAATGAATGAATATGTTTATAATCCATTGGAGGAATGGTTTTCACTCCCAACTGTACATTAGATTCACTGGGGGAATGTTTAAAAGAAACACTGACACCTAGGCCCCACTCCTACAGATTCTGAATCATTTGGTTTGCCTTGAAGCCTGGGCACATCCTTTTTTTACTTTTTAACTTTTAATTGAAGTGTAATATACATACAGAATATATCTGTATGAACTATATTTCATAATGCACATATCATAAGTATACAGCTTGCTGCATTTTTACAAACTAAATACACCCATATACCCATCACCCAGATCAAGAAACAGAAAATTGCCATATCCCAGAAGTCTCCCTCTTGCCCGATTCTGGTTACTTCCCCCCTCATTCCTTAATAGTAACCACTCTTCTAACTTCTAAGAACATACATTAATTTAGGGCAATAATACTTTGTAAAAGCTCTCCAGATATTCTAGTGTGCATCCAGGGTTAAGAACCCTACTCCCCACCGCATACACTCTCTTGATTACTTCTGAGATATAGAATAATGTGAAAGCAGATTAAGAAAAATGTAGTGTCACCTCAGATCTCTTTTGCAGTCTAACAGGGATAAGACATTTGTATCAACTGAACTTAGGTTAATCTTTGAAAAAGAGGAAACGGTCAGTATACTAGGAATCAAGTAATTTTAGAAGAAAGAAAATATGATATTTGAGTATTCCTAATGTTTTTAAAGGATGTGTGCTGGTAAAGATTTAAATCAGTGTCTCTCAATCTTTTCTGTACATTTGAATCACCTGAGAACAAGCCCCATGCCTGATCAAGTCAATCAGAATTTTTGGTATGCGACCATAAGAAGTTTTACAAAGCACAGGTTATTCTAATGTGCACTCAAGGTTAACTGAAAGTTTGGGGGTAGTTGCAGCCTGTCTTTTGGAAAGTCCTATTTTAAAGCTTATTGTAAAGAATCCTTTTTTGCCTGTAGGTGGAGCTCAGCTGCTGCAAGTTAATCATGTAAACCAAATTGAATTGTCCACTCCACTTGTTTTTAGCATCTGTGTATTGATTTATAATAAATGGCCAAACAGTAAAATC